CAGTCCTACAACACTCCTTTTCTTGTCTCCTGCCTTCATTCACCACCCCCTTCCTTTTTAACAATCGTAGCGTCAGATAAATTTAGATAACTGAATTCCATTTTGCATGTAAAATAGGATACTGTGGGAGGTGAACTTGTATTTACTTCCAACTTCATGAAGAGATCACAGCCACCTGGCTGGTAATCTTCTACCTAGGGAATCACATGGGTGGGCTGCAGCAAGCAGCATATGATCCTGCTGCTCCTTGTGGAAGTGCTTGCTCTGTTTCTTAGGTGGGTACAAAAGGATGATTGAAATGTTGCTCAAACCCACAACATGTGGTAGCTCTGATGTAGAATAAGGCAGAATTTGCCTAAGACACCGTGGGCCTAGGAAGCATATTACATGTATCTTTAACATACCATGTTTCCCCCCAGAGCATTTTTTAAGAAGTTGTCAGGGGTCTCTGCTTCACAGTGTCTTCACTGAGGAATGAATCAAAAGTCTTTTTTTTTTTTTTGTAGCACTAAACTCTTATGTTGTAAATACATAATTCATCTCTTAAAATCATTCCAGCAGTAAAAATCTGTCGTGTCATATCTGTGATTAAATGATAAAATGAAGTCCTGAGATATGTCTTGCTTTTGTGTCTCCTAGGAATCTGAGAAAAAGGGGCTAATTGAGAGATTCTACATGGTACAGGATATTGTGTCAACTGTTCAAAACATCTTGGAGGAAATAGCCTCTTTTGGGGAAAGAATTAAAAAGTAAGTTCTGAAGGTGCACTGAGGTGTTTGTTTGTTTTGCGCTGAGGTGCTTGAAGTGGACCTGCTACTCACAAGGATGTTGGGGGAGCAGAGGAGGGAGCAGACAATCCAAAATAAAAGCAAAGTGAAGGGTAGAGTTTCATAAGCCAGGTCTGACATTGACTTAGCAGCTTCACAGTTGGGTGGCACCTCGGAAGGGGGACCCAATGACTCAGTTTGCAGAAGTTGTCTTGACCTAACTGTTTATAGTGTCCTCTTTCACTCTCAAAAATATCCTGATTTGGGTGATAAGTTGTAGTCTGGAAAATAGATTCCATTATCCACAATTAAGAAAGAAAAATGAATTCTAAGGGAGCCTTTGATGTTTGAACTTTAGGACACCATAAAACTTTGGTGAATGATTTTCTTTGTTCTTTAAAAAGAAAAAAGTTCTTTACAGCTAGCAGCATCCTGGATGGAGAGGCATGAAGTTACTACACAAAAGGTGATTCACGACAGGGTTGCCAAACACTCTATAATGGGTCGGGAAGTAAATATTTTTATCCTTGCAGGCCTTATAGACTTCTGTCAACTCTGTTGTTTAAGTGTTAAAACAGTCACGGTTGATATGCAAATGAGTGAGTGTAATGTGGATTGATGAAGTCATTTATGAAGTGGTGCAGGGCTGTGTGCTAAGCACTCTGGGAGACTCAAGTAGGAGAATGTCGGGTCTGACCATGGCCTGTAGAGCTTAGCAATTTAGACTAAGTTTTAAATGATAAAAATGGGCTGGAGATGCAGCTCTGTGAGAAGGCCCTAGGTTCAGTCTCTAGCACTACAAACAAATCAATCTATGAAAGCAAGAGCCCTGCTGGATTTTGCCCAAGTCCAGCCCATAATTTGCCTCATGTAGCTGTTGGTCATAAAGGTTAACTTCCTTAATGGCATCCTAGATGAGAATGACTCCGTAATGTATGTGTTTTTGTCTTATTTTGCACATTTAAAAAAAATTATGTATTTAGTACAGGGTCTCACTATATAGATTGGACTCCTAGTGATCCTCCTGTTTTCAGCCTCCCAAGTGCTGGGATTACAGGACTGTGCTACCATACCCAGTCTCAATCCCAGTCTCAGGGTGCCTTGGGGGGTAGGGCTTGCAAGGCATGCCAGGGACTAAACCCTGGTCCCTGTACCTGCCTCAGCAGGTGCTTTAGTCTGCTGAGCTTTCTGGTCTGCCCTATTTTGCACATTTCAAATCTGCATAACTTGGTCTTTTTTTTTTTTTAAACCAGCACACAAAGAGGACTTGTTGGGTCCTGAATGGATTATAAATGGATTTCTTTCATTTAATCCAGAATTGTGCCTACTGTGTCTAAGAATTAAAACTTTAATGGGCTGTGTATGAGGATCTTTCTAATTTCGTTAAAGTAGATATTGTTTTGAAGTTGCGTGGGTAAGGAGGACATAAAAATTAGTGCTAAAAGCCAGTTGAAAGTCTTCTACATCAAAATGCTGGGTGTCCAGTAAATGATAATTAACATTACGCAATATGAATTATTAATATGCAACTCTCAAAGCTGTTCTTCAGCTGCATGTTCAAGCTGACTGCACTGAATGCCCATAGACCATCAGCATTATAAACCTAATTTTTTTAAAAAAGACTAAAAACTACCTTGGATAGATAAAAAACTACCAATGGATTTGATCAGTGCTGAATTAATTTACACATTGTTTTCATTATTAACAATTTAAGGGAGGAAAATTTAAAAATTGAAGGACTTTTTTTCATATGTTGAAACCTATCTTCTTTGTTCTTCATGGATTCCACATAACTGACAAATGATTCCTGAATTAACCTTCACAAATGTATCAGAGTACTCATGTCAGCAGCACATGTCCCAAAATTAGAATGACATAGAGAAGATGAGTGTAGCCCCTGCATCAGAGTGACACACAAATTCATGAAATATTCCATATTTTAAAAATATTATTTACCTTTATTTGACCAAAATATATTGGACAGCAATAAATAGAAGATCATTGTATTTGCATGTTTCTTTTCTTATTCAGTTATTAGTTATAGAGCTTTAAGCACTGACTTGGTCTGGATATAAGAAATGCGTCATGGTAAATAACAGCAGCAATGTCCACTGATGTGACGTGGGCCTGGCACTGCACTGAGTCGTTATCCACAGGATCTGCTTGAGGAGTTGCCCAAGGGAGTTGTATTAAATCATTGTAACAACATGCTACAGTCAGGGTTGCTAATAACCGCATTTTGCAGATGAGGATTTGAAAGGACAAAGAGATTAAATTTCTGCTGCAAGATGACAGTTAGGAGGCCACGTAGCTTGGATTTGAGCCTGTCCTCTTCATTTTTACACCACAATGTGATTTTCCTCTAGGAACTTAGTTTTCCATGAGGACAAATAAGTGACAGCCAACTAGAATGCAGTAGCATAAGGTCCAGGTGGTGATGAGACAAAGTGCTGAAGAAGGTCTGACCAGCCTAGGAGAGGGCATCCAAGACAGACAGATGGAGGGCAAGCCTGAAGATGCTGTAGCACATCCTCATCTGTGAGAATCAGCAAAGATAGGTGGAGACCGGATGAGTGGTGGACCCAGTTGGTGGAGCCACTGTGCAAAAATATAAAGACCCAAAGACTCACAGCTGAAGACCATGAGGTACATTCAGGAAGACATAAGGGTTTAGTATATCTGGGCCACAGGGGGTCAAAGTGGCAATGGCAGGAGACAAGGCCATTATGCAGGGATTTGAGGGGACAGGAAAGTCAGTGTTGAAAAAAATGAGAAGAGTGAAGGCTGTCTTTGCAGCAAGGAGGATGAGAGGATGTGGAGGGGGACAAGGAAAGAAGATCATGTTTGGCAAGACTGATTCCAGCCTTAATAGTCCCCACAACACAAATGTAGCTCTTGTACGGTTGATAATGTTAAAGGAAACGTGCCTGATGGGAGAAGAGGGCAGAGTGATTTAAACAGCTCTCAGCTCTCCAGGCTTCTGAGGGACAGCTGTGCCTGGCACAGCTGGGGTGGACATGTCTGAGGCAGACTTCAGCTCATGAACAGAGCACTGTTCTGACCAGCTGCAACACAGGAAGGATCCTGAGGCTCAACTCCTATTAATTCTTTGGCCATTCATTATTTCATTGACCTTAAAGTCCCTGCTGGGCATTCAAGAGTGAGTTCATGTGTGACTCTATTGGAATTCTATTGGAATTCAGAGCTTAAGAACCAGGAAAACTTTTACTCAATTTTTGACAAGTAGCAAATAAATAGACTTCCATAAAAATCTTAGCGCAAACTGTCCTTGCTATTGATTGGGAAAACCCTACTGGTATTAAATATACATGGAATAAGCTGGATTTCCTTTTTGTCTACTTTAGCTTCTTTAATTTCTTTCTCTAAAATTTCACAAATGTAGGTATCAGACTGAAGAATTTACTCAGTATGTATCATTTATATTGTGGTAGATGGCACGGGTAGAAGGGGGATGCATATTGTGTCTTCCATAATTATGGGGTAATGCGCTCCAAGCTCTGTGTCCTTAGGTGCCTCTACAAATCTCCATGGAGATGAAATTAAGGGAGACTTAAGAGGACTGGAAAATCATTCCTGCAGATGTTCCAAGCAAAAAGGAGGTGTGTTCAGGTGACACAGAACTATCCTAGTGCACAGATGTGGAGAACTTCCAGTCAGGATGAGAAACTGAGTGAGGTCGAGTTGGAATGACAGAGAAGAGGTTAGAGACCTACACTGATGGTGTTTCTGTTTAATCTTGGGGTAGCCTGTTTGAAAGGAAAAAAAAAGTGAAGACAGAAAGGCTAAGGAGCATGCCAGAGGCTGGGCAGAGAGGACCACTTAGGTGTATAGAACAAATATCAGAAAGTATTGCAGAAGAAAAATTAATAGAACTCTATGGCCAGTTGTTTTTGTTTTATTTCCATCCAAAGAGACAAGACTTCATTTGTCTTAACCTAGGAAATGAGGAAAATAATGAATTCCTTGACAAAAAGTTCAGTGTAGTGGAATAGCCTGTTGAGGAAGGACCTAGAGAAAAACCCTGGACCCATCTTGTTAGATGTGCATGCAGTCATTTTTGCTGTTTGTCTGAAATGTAGACCTTCGTGTTATCTCTATGTTGGTGATCCCTATCATTGAAAGAATGGAAGGGAGCTCTTTGAATTTCTCATTTAAAAGTTTAGCTAATATAATTCATGATGATGTAAGACGAAGTGTTTTAAAATTTAGGGAGCTCCCTTGTTAAAAAAATAGGTAAAGTCTATGAAAATGTTTTATGGATTGTTTGACTGTAAGATAAGATATGAAGGTATAAGTGCACCATAGATCTTTACCTGTGTGTATTTTATGGGAGACCCACACAAGGAATGCTTCTGTATAAATGGAGAAAATGTCCAATAAGTGTTCTGAGTGTTACAAATGTAACTATTAGTATCTCAAATAAGTCATCATTTATTTATTTTTTTTTCTACAGTTTTATTGATAAACATATAGCAATGAGACAGTTTCAAATCAAATCGGAAGTACAGTTT